CTCCTCCTCATCCTCCTCCTCCTCCTCCTCCTCCTCCTTAGGCCCAGCAGTCAACTACGCGTAAGAATGGCCCTTTGCCAGAGTGACCTGTGGTGCGGGCCCACTCCAGGCCTCCTGGATGGGGTCGGAGTAGATGGGATCGGAGGATCGGGCCTATCGCCGATGCATCGGCGATGCGGCCCGATGCGGAGCCCGATCTTCTCCATGCCGAGGTCTCCGATACATCGCCGACGTCACCGATACATCGCCAGTGCATCGCTGATGCATCGCCGATGTATCGGCGATGCGGCGCGATCCTCCGACCCCATCTCCTCCGACCCCATCCAGGGGGCCTCTAGAGAAGGGAGGCCATCGGCGCGCAGGTCGGGGAGGTGGGGGCAGAAGGGAGGAGAGAGGAAAGCGAAGGAGGAGAGGGAAAGTCGTCGGTCGTCGTCGTCGTCGTCGTCGTCGTCGTCGTCGTCGTCGTCGTCGTCGTCGTCGTTGTCGTCGTCCGTCGTCGTCCGTCGTCGTCGTCGTCGTCGTCGTCGTCGGCGTCGGCGTCGTCGTCGTTGTCGTTGTCGTCGTCCGTCGTCGTCCGTCGTCGTCCGTCGTCGTCGGCGTCGGCGTCGGCGTCGGCGTCGTCGTCCGTCGTCGTCCGTCCATCGTCGTCGTGGTCGTCGTCGTCGTCGTCGTGGTCGTCGTCGTGGTCGTCGTGGTCGTCGTTGTCGTCGTCGTTGTCGTCGTCGTCTTGGTCGTGGTTGTCGTAGACGTCGGTCGTCGTCGTCGTCGTGGTCGTCGGTCGTCGCTGTTCATCGGTCATCGTCGGTCGTCGGAGGGTCAAGGGGGGACGGGGGGGACGGAGGAGGGCAGGACGGGGGCTTCTGGCGTGCGCCTCTGCGGGCAGGAGCCCCCCAGGGTCCTCGAGGGCGCGCCCGCGCGCGCTCGCGATCCCTTGGTAGCGTCGCAGCGGGAGCGGGGAGGAGTGGAATTATCAACGATGTTGGAATAAACCCTCCCTCCAAGCTCCCTCTTCACAGGCCCCTACAACGGTTCACTTCCAATGGGGGGAAATGCCTCGTTGGAAGACATCCGTTTGAAGACCCTGAAGCATGCCAAAACATTGTTCTCGGGATTTCAACGCCACGGATCAACCTGACTGTTGCGTGTTGGCGATCCTGAATCGTACCAGAGCGCCATTTCTGGGACTACAACACAGCGAATCAACATAACTGTTGCGCCCGCGTAATCCTGAATCGTTTCAGAACACCGTTTCTGGTATGTTGATGATGGGAATCCGTGGAACTCTTTCAAATGTTGTAAGCGAATGTGCGCGGCGTTAAGGCGAGAGCCACAGTTTCAAAAGGAACTGCCCTCAATCCGTGAAATTCTGCAAAGTTTTAAGAAACGAATGTGCGCTGCGCTAATGCGAGAGCCACATTTTGAAAACTATCCGCCCTCTATTCGTGAAACTCTTGCCAAGTTCCAAGACGCGCCCCGCGCTAAGGCGAGAGCCACATTTTGAAAACCATCCGCCCTCAATCCTTGAAGCTCCTGCAATTCATTCAAAACGAATGTGCGCCTCACTAAAGTGAGAGCCACATGTTGAAACCTGCCCGCCCTCTATCCGTGAAACTGTTGCCAACGTTTGAGCTTCAGAGTCAGAAGTGGGGAGGAAGTCTCCGGCGAGCCGCCCGGCCCGCACTAAAAAATGGCCTCGGGGTGCGACGGGACCAGTGAGGAGTTTTTTTATCCAGGATGGGGATGTGGGAGGAGGATGCTGGCAGATCGGTGCCTTTGCGGCCGAGCGCTCGTGCCAGAGATTGGCGGGGAGGTTTTCAAATCTCGCGGCATGGAGTCCCCCATCGTCTACATCCACAACCACGACTTCAACGGCGCGCCTTTTTCGATCGCGTGCTCCGAGCAGGTTGCAGATTAGATAGCCGGCATTTGTCAGGGGTCTTGTTTGGAGCCCGCTTCGCCTTTCAATCCAAGATGCAGCCTCCAGCACATCTATGTATATGTGTATATATATATATATATTCAGAAATACATGTATATATATATATATATATATATATATATATACGCAGCTTGCCATGAAGTGCCGCATTGCCAATAAACATTTCTTGGTTTGTGATCCCGATACGTTTGCCATGTAGCTGGTTCGTCCATGATATTGTCGCAGGAGGGCGCTCGTGCGACTGCACGTCGCAGAAGGTGGAACCCGAGCGCAGGATGCCCGACCACCTGGAGGGCACTCCCTGGCGCCAACCTTCGGAAGAGAAAGGTGGAGCAATGCGCCATCACTGGCACGATTCCCTGAACAGCTTGTCCGTGAGGGCCTCTCTGGAGCCGGAATCGGTGGCCCTCGGTCTCCCGTGTGATCTTCCATGCAGTCGGGGCCCTGAAGAAGGAACCCTTTTCGTTGGGGAGGGGCTCCGTGTTCCTTGGATTTCCCATAGGTTTCCGACACGAAATCGAAGTCTAACTTATGGAAAATAGGGGCCTCGCTCCTTATTTAGGGTTCCTTAGGTCAACGCCTCGACTGCAGGGTCTCCCGTATTGTCTCCCGTGCGGTTTCACGTCTCGTCTCCCGTACGGTGTCCGTACGGTCTCCCAGCTGGTTTTTTGTTATCCGAGCTTCCTAAGAAGCGTCGGGGGGGGGGGGGGCGTCACGCCGAAGGCGCTCCGACACCCGTCGCGGCGCGACGACGACGCGAGGTTGAACCCCGTCGGGGGGATACCCCCCCACGCTCATTAAGAAGCCCAGAGTGCGGTATCCCGTGCGCGTTCTTTGTGCAACGCATGCGCGGCACAAGATATGGCACGTCGATGTCGTGTTGTAAGTTAGTTTTGGTGGCATGAGAGTCCAGTGGTGCTCAACCATGGGCGGCAATACTTTAACGAGTTTCCGACATGCCTTACGTGGGCAAGCATCGAGCAAGTTTTTCGCGGACTTGTGACGAGGTCTTGGCTCGTAATGTTTAAGACAGCCTGGGTACCGCTCCTCTCACCCCATCCCGTCTTTCCCCTGGGCAAGGAGAAAGAGGCGGAGGAGGAGGGCGACGAGGATGAGGACGATGAGGCGCAGGGCGAGGAGGGATGGAGGAGGACGACGAGGACGAGGAGAAGGAGGAGAAAGAGTGTGAACAATTCCTGCACTGCGTTAGATGTGATGTTGACGTGTGGGCGATACGCGCCATCAACCTACACCCTATGGATTTTGTTGAGTTGAGGCTGCCGATACAGTCGGGGCCCTGAAGAAGGAACCCTTTTCGTTGGGGAGGGGCTCCGTGTTCCTTGATTGCTTCACAGTTTGCCTTGGGTTTTGCTTTGGTTTTCGATGGGAAATCGAAGTCCAACTTGTGGATCTAAGGGGCCTCGTTCCTTATTTAGGGTTCCTTGGGTCAACGCTCCGACTGTAGGCTGGTGAATGTTGCCCGTGCCCACTTGCATTATGAGTGACAGTTCCTCCGCTCTGGCCTGAGCTCTGTCTTGATGTTCATCGGCCCCCTCCCCACAAGCCCCAGCATCGGAGCTGGAAGTGGCACGGCATGTTGTAGAGCAGCCATTGTTTCAGAGGTTCCCGCTCGCTTGACAGGCCTGCTCCAGGCGTCTGCCCAAACGTGTTTGTCCGTGATTGGGTTCCCGTGCCTTGACGGATCAAATGCCACTCGACGGGTGGTGTGATCAATCACGGGTTAAACGTTGAGTTCCAAGTTAGTTTTTCCCGCCTCGTTATGATTGGATGGCAGGTTCCGAGCAGAGGCCATGTGCCGATGCCAGTCGGCAGTGTATCTATCAAAAGCTCGTCCCTCGTCCCAGTCGTGCGCAACAGGTATCAGCGCCCCAGTGTCGCTCATGTTGTGTTGCCGTCGAGGCCAAGTCAACCTCTTCCCCCTCACCCATCCGCTTGTTCCTCCTCTTTTCCCCCTCGGTCTTTGCCAGTACCATCCGTCGCTCGCTTCGCGGGCGCGTCTCCGTGCCAGGCATGGGCGGGCACACCGGAGCCGAGCTGCTCGGCATGGCGCAGAAGGAGGGCTTCAACACGCTGGTCATCGACGCGGCGTACCGCAAGAACGGCACGCATAACGACACACGGTGGGCACATCTACGGAGGAAGAGGAGCATCTGAGTCTCCACCTCGCACACGAGTCCCTGCACGTAGTGTTTTCCACGGCTGTAAGGATGCAGAGGTGGCGTCCACAGTTGAAACACAGTGACAGGAGGAGGAGGAGGAGGAGGAGGAGGAGGAGGAGGAATAGGAGGAGGAGGAGGAGGAGGAGGAGGAGGAGATTCGGCCTCTTCCTGGAGGAGTGGACGTGCAGATTTGGCCACGGGCCTGAAGGCATCGAAGACGGAGGAGGAAATGGAATGAAGAAGGAGGAGTGAGAAGGGGAGGAAGTGAAAGGAGGAGGAGCAGCAGCAGCAAAAGCTGGAGGAGGAGGAGGAGAAACAGGAGCAGGAGCAGGAGCAGGAGCAGGAGCAGGAGCAGTAGCAAGACAGCAAGAACAGAAGCAAAAGCAGGAGCAGGAACAGGAGGAGCAGGAGGAGATAGGCTGTGATCCTTGCTTCTGGCCGCCAAATCTGTCACATCGGTATGGACGGGCAGGATGGTGTTCCCGAGAGGGGTGAATGGACAAGCGGGACAGGAGGGAGCTTGATTTGACAAAAGTGATGTTCTTTGGTTTAGTAGTGATTCTTAGTATTTCTCTTCTGTTAATCTGTGACATGTGGTGTTTCGTTGCGGCAGTTGGACTTCTCAGAAGGCGCGGGGGGTTCTGAGAGGCCCCGCCGCCCGCAAAGAAGGCCCGCCCCCTCTCGCTTGCTCCCTAGGGCGCCGGGGAACAGGGGCTTGGAGGAGGAGGAGGAGGAGGAGGAGGAGGAGGAGGAGGAGGAATAGGAGGAAGAGGGACTCCGTCTGCAGGTGGTGGGGCTCGGCTTGACGGCGGGGCAGAGGGCACGCAGGAAGGCCCGGCTACAGCTACTCTCGGGAATTCCAGCGCCAACTGTGGGAGTTCAGCCTTGGAGTCGCGGTCGAAGTCGGGAAGTCGCAGAGCACATGCAGGTTCTTTCCAGATCTACAGTCGGGGCCTTGAAGAAGGAACCCTTTCCGTTCGGGAGGGGCTCGGTGCTCCTTGATTGTTTCAAAGTTTGCCTCGGGTTTTCCTGAGGTTTTCCATGGGAAATCGAGGTTGAGCTTATGGGAAAAAGGAGCTTCGTTCCTTATTTAGGGTTCCTCAGGTCAACGCCCTGACTGTAGTGTGCCAACATCGCCGTCTTCGGACACCAAACGCCGGACCAGTCGTGGACTGGGCCGCGCTTCATGGCCAAGACCAGTTGGCTGAAGGGGGCGGCGCTGGCGAGGGATGGGCGCCTCAGTTGGTTGGGCTCGTCGAGGGTCGCTTAATTTCGGGGGCGGAAAAGAGGGGGGTGATGACTAGGGGGGGGTGGATCTCATGGCGAGGGCCATGATGTTTTCCCAGTTTTCATGGCGCCTATTCTTGTTTCATTACGTCCCCAGCCCAGGCCCCCTGGGCCGCGCACGTGCCGCCGGTCATGATTTGCACCCCCCCCCTCTTGGACACCCCCCTCTTGGCCGCTCCCGATACTTGGGCCCAAACTTACGAAAATGAGCAAGACGCTGTTGAAGACGGGGTAGAACAGGTTCGATGGTGCGAACAGAACACACAGCTACTTGTGGTTGACAGGGGCACGGAAGAGTTGGAATGGTTGCCAGGTCGAATTTGCACACCGTGATACCCACGGATGCGCAGATTTTGTTTTCTATCCGACGCCATGCCAACGATGGCCAGCCAGTGGACATTGCAGCGTGGACATTGCGTTCGTGGTGTCATATTTCGTGGTTGGGGTGGGCCTGGAAGACGAGCCGAACTTGATCCTGCTCTTTGAGATCGGCTCCTACTTACGAGTCCGCGGGCAACCGTTCATCATCATGGCCGCTTGGAATATGACGTTGGATGACATCGGGCCTGCTGAGTTTGACAGGTTCGTTGGATACGAACGGATATGATTTGGAGACCACCCCAGCGGCGAGAGGCTGATGAACTACATGTGGGCATCGTCACCTCTGTGGCACGCAGCCGAACTAGCTTGGGATGTGGGATCGCCCTGGGCCGTCCCGCGCGCTCGCATCAAGGGGGGGCTGCTGAGAGAAGGTATGGTGCTAGTGCAGGTGGGCACCTTCTGCCCACCGCGCCAGGCATGATGAGGCCAGACCCACCTTGGGGCGCGCGCGGCAAAGCAAGCCAGGATAATGTTTAGCAAGGCATGTACCACGAGGAGATCGACGGGCTCGAGGGCTCCGAACGCAAGACCAGCGAGACGCACGCGAGGCATGCGCCCACGGCGGAGCACGCGATGCTGGAGAGGGGGGGGGGGGGGGGCGGGCACGGCGCGCGGGCCTCGTCGGCGGCGAAGCGCGGCTGCGCGTTCGAGGCCCAGGGGCATCAGACTGCGCCCCCGCAACCGCAAGGGCGGATGGCCCGAAAGTGGCCTCTTGGGGGGCGCTCGAGGGCTGCCTGCTTGATGCCCCAGGGGCGGCGAAGGAGACGGCGCCCTTCACCTCCGCCGCCGTGGGCGGGGCTGCCCCCCAGAGAGAGTTGGCGCTCAACTAGTAGGCCCCGCTTTGCCGGGATGCGCAGAAGCCCTGTTGTTGCGCGCCCTTCAGGGGGTTCCTATCCTCAGGAAAGAAGACTTAGATCGCCCCCGGGATCTCGCCGACGAGCGTCGCAACCTGCCCCCCGCGATCGAACGTTTTCGCGGCGGGGATCCATCTAAGAGATTTAGAGAATGGGCCTCCTGCAGTTCGATGACGGGCGCAGGGCCCATCCACCGGCGGGGAGATAGCCCAGGCAAGCCCCGGCCCGCCGCGGCCCCCGAGCGCGGCCCCGACGGGGGGGGGGGGCTGGTCGACCCCCGTCGTGGGATCGCCTCTGCGGCATCTGCGCGGGCGTCGCCGCGGCGCCCCGGGGTCGGCTGGCGGGTCGAATTCAAGGGGTTCGCCGCCGGCGCTCGGGGCGAGCTCCAGCCGCCCGAGATGACAGAATCGGAATGAGCGATCGGGATGGGCCCGGACGGCCAGCGTCCGAAGCTTCGGGTCCAGCTGTTCCAGGGCGGCGCTGCGCCGCGTCGAGGATTCGCTCACCCGGCCCAGGCGAGCGAGGGATAATGGGGCCCAGTTGCAGCACAAGTCGGACGGTCTCAACCGCTGCTGGTCTGCAATTGCGGAAGAAGGGGGGGGGGGGGGGGCACGCTTGTCGGAGGGCAATGGGGGGTGCGTTCTAGGACATGGCTGCCAGAGGGGGCACCGCCTGGTGCGCAGCGATCGCGCGCCAGCTTCAACTGGGAACTGTTCGATGGATTTGCCCAGGCGGGGGCCCCGGGGGATCGGGCGCAGTTTCGCGACCACCTCCAGTGCTTCAAAGTACTCGAGCTGGCTCGGTGCACGGGGCGCCCCGCGTTTGAGGCATTTTGTTTGTTGTTTCTCTTCCCTGTCTGAGGGCGTTTGTTCTGGGGCGGGCCCGGGCCGAGAGCGGCGCTGGCGGGGCGAACGTGCAACGGCGAGACATCGTAGCTGGAAGCAATCAGTCAGTGGATGCAGCGCCAGAGCAGGACTGTTTGCTATGCTCGAAGACCTGTACGACTCGTTCGCATTTGTTGCTCGGCACGCGGGTAGGCATTTGTTCGCAGCGCGTGTCTGGCCACTCCAGGGAGGCGGTCAGGCGGCCTTGAACTTTGCGCGGGCAGTCTGGGAGCTCGTCGGGAACTCTGCAACGGCGGCGCCCCTCGGACTTCGAGCAAGAACGCCCTCGCGAGTTGCCCCGGGCACCTGGTCACAGAAGTTCCATCTGCCTTGTCCACTTAAGGCCTGGGCGCACAGATCAGCCAGGTAGCCCAATATTTGGGGGTGGACGCCGCAGCCACCAAGCGCCGCGCGGCCAGCCTGTCGCGCCAATCTGATCGCCCTGGCGGTCAAGGTGGCGCCAGCGGCATGGGGTCTTGGGCGCGCGGGTTTCCTGCCTCAAGCGACGCGGGGGCTGGAATGCCCGCGCCTGGTCTTCGCAACGCGCGCCGAAAACGATCCGCTGATCTCTGGGCGCCTGAAAGTTTCTCGTTCGCGGCACGAGCGCCCCATCGCAGCGCCGCGCGCGTCTCAGCGCACCCTTCAGCGCGCATGTAAAATAGCTTCGTGGCGCCTCCGAGGCGCGAAACGCAGGCATGGCCACGTCAAGGGCCCCCCGCGGCAGCGGGGGGCTTCTCGATTCCGATTTCAAGAGCTCCCTGGAAGAACTGGCTTGGGCCATGGCTGCCCAACACTACTAGCGCAGCATCGCGCTTCTTGCGTCGCGCGTCGGCGCACGCGTAGTCCTTGAGTGTTTGCGCCGCCATGATGGGGCCGCTGCGTCGAGGATGGCGACGACGGGGGAGGGCGGGGCCAGCTGCCAGGCGCCGGGGGAGAGGGCACCCACCCGCCCCCCGCGCCCCCCCCCCCGCGCCCGACTCGGGGCAGGCGCCCGCCTTGGGATTAGGCGAGGAAGTGGGAGGGCGCCGTCGGAGCAGCATGCCCAACAGGGCGCGCGCGGTCTGCGCGAGCAGGCGGGGCCCAAACCCCCGCGCGTCGCCCGGGTGCCCTCGTTGCGGAGCAGCGCCAGAGATTCTACCCCGTCAGATGTGGCGCTGTCGGCAGCTAGGGTGGGGGGCGCGGGCCTTTCCTTGCGTTGGAACAGTCGGGCCCTCTGACCGAGCTCGAGGCTGTCGCCCAGGCCCTGCGAAGCACTGTTGGAAACACCGTGCTGTCAGTGGATTCGGCGGCTACGGTCTCGGGATCTCACAGGAGGCCCAGCTCAATCCACAAGGTTAATGTGTTTGCTTGGGGGAGGCGCTGGGGAAGCTGTCCAGGGCCTTTTTTTCCATAGTTGTGCAGAAAATATAGAAACACACGCGCCCTGCCCCAGAGCGCGTTGATGGCCCTCCCTCGCAGCTGTGGTTCGCCAGCGGACTTGCCGACCAGGCGGCAGAGCATGGAGCTTAGATATGTCAGCTGCCTGGCCATGACATCCCTGAGGTTGCGCGTTCAGATGGGTTGACCTGAAAGGTCCGAACGCATGTTGTTGCAGCGGCACTGGACGTCGCATCGAGGGCCCCTCAACAGCATCCCCAGCTCGCGAGTTGCTCAAGCAGCAGTGGCGAAGCTTTGGGGCAAAGAGCGTGCTTTCAATTGGAGGAGGCCAAGGCGGCGTCGTCCCATTAAGTTGGGCACCGCACTACAGGCATCAAGTGCGTCAGGTGTCTTATTTGCCCGCTAGCTGAGCTCAAAATGAGCGACTGGTTAGCCTTCTCGTGCTCAGGCCCACGCGGGCACCGATCCCCCTCGCCGGCGGGTTTTCTAACAGGGGGGCTTTTGTGTGCCTGCTGTGTGGGGGGCCGCGGGCACGGGAGGCAAGTTCGCGAAGGTCGCGAAAACGTTTTGACTTGACAGAGCTGGAACCTGGGGGGAGAAGGGCGATCAGCACTTTCGGGCCGGGGCAAGCTCCCCACTAGATTCACGACCTGGCCAGAGCCAGAACCACAGCCGCAATCCGTTTATTTCTCGGTGTTGGCGTGCCCGATTCTGGGACTCGGCGCTGCAGCTCTGGACGTGGATGAGGAGGAGGAGGAGGACGCGGAAGAGGAGGGAGGGTCATGGGGGAGGAAAAGAGGAAGACGAGGAGGAGGAGGAGGAGGAGGAGGAGGAGGAGGAGGGGAGGTAGGACGAGGGGGAAGACGAGGGGGGAGAACGCAGGTTCTGA